GGTTTAGGGGTTAGGGTTTAGGGATTTAGAGTTTAGGGTGTAGGGTTTAGGATTTAAGGTTTAGGGTTTCGGGTTTGGGATTTAGGGTGACTTTTGGAGATAGGGAAGAAATCCGTTGGTACTTCAGGAGCTGCTTCCTCCTGAGACCTCCTAAACCCTCAAAACCCTCAAAATGCTGAAAGCCCTCAAAGCCCTCAAAACCCTAAACCCTAAACCCTGATCCCTCTTACAGCAACCACCCCCTCTTCACCCTCCCCGCCCCCCCTTAAAAGCCTTGAAGTCCCTAAACCCTAAACCCTAAACCGTGTGGAACCCTAAACCCTAAACCCTAAGCCCACTACGCAGCAAAGCCTTGAAGTCTTCCTCTGCTTCAGGCAGCAGGCTCCGAGCCCCTCCGGAGCCATCCGTGGCGGCCCCGGGGTGCACCCGGAAAGGGTCTAGGGTTTAGGGGGTTTAGGGATGTAGGGTTTAGGGTTTAGGGCTTAGGATTTAGGGCTTAGGATTTAGGGTTTAGGAGGTTTCGGCCTTGGATTCATTTGAGCTATAGTCTTAGACGCCTTAAAGGGGTTATATAGGGGATCCCAAATAGGAGCATTAAAGGAGTTACTGAGGGGGATACCTGGAGTGTTGACTATACTTCTTATGAGCTACTGTCAATAGTTGCCTCATTAAGGGTTTAAGCTTTAGGGATTGATTTAGGGCTAAGGGATTATAATGTGTGAGTGGGGTTGGTGGGCCACTATTTTAGAACCCCCGTACATAACACAAAAGAGGGCCCTAAACCCTAAACCCAAACCCCAACCCCTTCCTAAACCCCAAACTCTAAACCCTAAACCCAAAACTCTAAACCCTGAACCCCAAACTCCAAACTCTAAACCCTAAACCCCAAACCCCTAAACCCTAAACCCCAAACTCTAAACCCTGAACCCAAAACTCCAAACTCTAAACCCTAAACCCCAAACTCCAAACTCTAAACCCCAAATCCCAAAACCTAAACCCCAAACTCTAAACCCCTAAACCCTAAACCCTAAACCCCAAACTCCAGGCTCTAAACCCCAAACTCCAAACTCTAAACCCTAAACCCCAAACCCCAAACCCCAAACTGAAAACCCTAAACCCTAAACTTTAAACCCTAAACCCCAAACTCTAAACCCTAAACCCTAAACCCCAAACTCTTAACCCTAAGCCCCAAACCCCAAACTCTAAACCTTAAACCCTAAACCCTAAATAGTAGCTTCCATTTTCTTTTCCAGTATCCCAATATAACCCCAATATATAAAACCCGAAACCCCAAAGTCTAAACCCTAAACCCCAAACTCCAAACTCTTAACCCTAAGCCCCAAACCCCAAACTCTAAACCTTAAACCCTAAACCCTAAATAGTAGCTTCCATTTTCTTTTCCAGTATCCCAATATAACCCCAATATACAAAACCCTAAGCCCTAAACCCAAAGCTGCAGGCTGACGACCCAGGAGATCCGAGACTTTTGCAGTGACTTGAAGGCTAGGCCCAAGAATTGCCAGGTCCCAGGTTGTTTGAGCTGCAGTCTAAACTCCTCAAGAGGGGTTATATAGGGAATTATTTGGATTTAGGGTTTAGGGTCTAAAGTCCTCCAAGGGGGATGATATAGGGGATTAGATAGGGGAGTATAAAGGGGGATACTAGGAGTTTAGACCCTAGCTCATTCTATACAAGCCCATAGACCTTTTGTTTATGCCCTTGCTCTCATAGCCAGGTTCTTGGCAAGGCCGACCTGGCGCTGCTGCTGAAGTGGCGCACCAAACTTCTCCGAGAGCCGAAGCCCTGGAAAAGCCCATGCCTACTGCTTACTGAGTCTTAGTAGGGAATATAGGGATATTGGGAAAACAAAATGGAAACGACTATAGTATAATAGGATATGTATTGGGGTTATATAGTAGGAAACAAGGGAATATAATCCCTATATAACCCCTATGTGCCATATTCCCATATTCCCTACAAAGAACCGGCAAGGTTGCATTTCATGCTCGGAGTTCTTTGATGTTGTATGTTTAATAGGGCAATATGAAGCAAGGTATTGGAATTGTCTGTGCCCTAAGGCAAGAGAAGAGGGAGAGGGAGGCAAAAAAGAAGGCCGATGAGGACCCGACTACGCTGGCGCGGCCCCAAAGCTCCGCGTAGTCTCAGTTTTGCTTTTCTTATTACTCTTACTACTTGATTACTCTTATGCTTTAAAGTATTACAACTCTAAACCCTAAACCCTAAACCCCTAAACCCCTAAACCCCTAACCCCTAACCCCTAAACCCTAAACCCTGAACCGTGTTATTACTAGCGGTGTTATTTACTTTTACTTCTTCATCGTTTCCGGCCAAAGCTTGCGTGTTGCCCCAGGCGCTGCGAGCAAAGGCCAAGGTCCAGGCTGCGCAGGCGCAATGGGTTTAGGGGTTTAGGGTTTAGGGTTTAGGGTTTCATGAAGGGAGGAAGCGAAGTGATTCTGAAAGTTTTACTAGTGCTTAGTAGGGAATATGGGAACATATTCCATAGGGGTTATAGAGGGGTAATATTTCCCTATTCCCCACTATACAACCTCGATATATACCCTATTCTACTTTAGTCCATGGTTGTATCCATTTTCTGTTCCATTATCCCCATATTCTCTACTAAGAAGTGGGAGCTGCTTGCCAGGCGGCTGCCAAGAAGGCCGTGGATCGCGCGGTGCCCAGTGTCGCCGGCTTTGCATCACGCAGGGTACTTGATGCCCTACTAGGTGTCTATTCTTTACACAGAAACTCCCCAGGACGTGAGTGGATATAGTCCTCCTTAAGTAGATGGAATATGGCTTTGGGTATATTATAATAAGATCCCCATATACCCCGTACTCTATCTACTTAGGGGGAACTATACTCCAAGAAGTGAGTGGATACTCTAAGAAAGTCCTTCAGATTGAGGGTTTAGACCCTAAACCCTAAACCCTAGACCCTAGACCCTAAACACGGAGGGTTTAAGGTTTAGAATCCACAAGTTGAAGGTGGTTTGGCCTCGGACGTGGACAGCGCCATTGCTCAATTCCTCGATGGCGCTGAGGACAAGGTGGAGGAGCTGAAAGGCCCGGAACGGAGCAGGGAGCAATGTAGCTATAATTAGTCTAAACTCCTTAAAGGGGGTAATGTAGGGGATTATGTAGGGTTTAGGGTGTAGGGATAGAGTCTAAACTCCTTAAAGTTTTTTTGGGAAATTTCTAGGGGACCCTAAGCCCTAAACCTTAAGATTCAAACCCTAAACCTTTACCCTAAGCCCTAAGCCCCTCAACCAGGGGGATACTAGGAGTTTAGACTACAGCTCATGTAGCTCTGGGGTGCCTCCTCTGTGTAGAGCCAGGGTGGTTCCGGACACAATTTGAGGGTTTAGGGGTTTAGGGTTTAGGGGTAATCCCTATAAACAACTACATAAACCCAGGCCTTATTTGGGGCTTATTTCGGTGACGAGGAGTAAGAGGCGGGGTGTAGTATAGGATCTCATGATCTAAGTCCCTTTACATGATCCCAGTGTCCATCTCATTT